AGAATGGGATGAAGGCAAGCTAGATTGCTAATCTAATACAGTCAAACCTGCTGTTACTGCTGTAGTGACCACCTGTCTACAAAGACCACATTTTTCGTTTCCCTTAAAAATGGTTTCTCATTGAAACATAGCTACAGGAACATATCTTTGAAGACCACCTGCCTATAAAGACCACTTTTCTTGTCTCCTTTGGGTGGTCTTTATAGACAGGTTTCATTGTATATTAATTCAGAGTTGACTGATTTGACCTCAGACAACCGCATAATATTCAAGGCAGGATTGGGAAAGCACATCTTTTTTAAAATACAGTTTCAATAATATTGAATCATATTCAGTTGTACTTAATCATATCCGTTTATTGAGGCATCATTCTAGCCATCCATCTAATGTGCCACCCCCGGGTGCCACCCAAGCAGGGAGGTAATATAAAATAAGGAGTGGAAACTCTTGTAATTTATTCAAATGCATGCGTGAGTTCTAAAGCGTAACAATGGGATGTGTAACATTCCACTGGGCTTTGAATTTCCATGCTCGGCCACACCACGCTTCCACTGCGGGGACTTTCGGAAGCCAGGCACCAGTTTCACATTTATTAAATTACCGGCACAATTTCAGTGTAAATTACAAACAGCTTTATATAGGGATGGTATTGGGAATAGTACACATTTTGATGAGAAATCATTGAAAGGGACTCAGTGAACATTTGTTGGGATACTATTTTCTGATGCTGGAATTCTTAATCCTGATATTTCATGCGCTCTTTTATTGGCGCATAACTTTTCGGCGGCTTGGAGCACGGGGTCAAAGGAGAGCGGCTTGATTCCACTCCTTCTCTATCACCTCCCTGACTCAAGTATCCATCCTTCCATTTATCCATTTATTTCAATCATCAATCTATGATTGGACCCCTATGAAGATCGTCACTCTCTCTGATATGGATGTTGCATCCCAAAAATGGTAAATATATGAATGAATAAATTAATAATACCCATTCATAATAATAATAATAATAGCTCACATTTATAATGCGCCTAATATTTTGTTTCTAGGCGCTGAACATATTATTACCCCGGTCATCGGATTCAGACATACCCGCACACAAGGTATGCACATTCTCCACTCCCTGGTGAGCATTCCAGCCAGTCGCCATTTAATGACCCACTAATCTATTCATCCTTCTGTTCATCAACCAATCGAATCATCTATTTACTTATATCTCAACAAACAGCCAATCATTATCAACCAACAAATCCATCCATCCATCCATCTATCAATCGAAGACAAAAACAAAAGTACAAGACAATGCATATAGTTTGCTTGAAATAATCTATTAACAAATAGACTTAATATAAAAATGAGTAAAAGTAACTGAAATCTTAGTCAATATACGACACATAAAGAGGTACACATATAAAATAACATTTAATAAATGTTACATAAAAATACTTTTTTGCGGTTTGAGAACGTCTCTTTGATCAAGAATAATTTTCCTGATAAAAGCTCTGGCGGAAAACGTCGTAAATCTTTAAAAGAAAAATGAAATATGAATTTGATGACATCATCTAACAAAATAAAATTATCTTTACGCGTGCTGTAAAAAGCCAAGCTGTCCAATATAAAATCGAGCATGGAAAGAGAGTGGGGGAGGGGGTAAGCATGTACGTGAACAAGTACATGTATGTAAATGCAGCTGTTAAAAAAAAATCCAGTGTAATTATATGTCTGTTGAGAACCGGATGTGCATTACTTCTGTATGAAATAATTTGAATTATCCTCCTACTGGTAAAAAGTCAGACATCTGTTTGTGTGTTTTGAACTTTAGTGCAAAAGCCAGGGTAATTATGCTGCATCATTGTAGAGCGCTTAGAGACTTCTGACAAAGTAAGTGTTAGGCGCTATATAAGCACTGTAATTATTATTATTATTATATCACAAACGTTATGTGTCCGGACAGTTTGATTTCAAACAGTAATTTGAGAACAACAACAATTCAAGTCATATTTCATAAATCTATTTGGTGCGAATTTGTTGTGAATTCCGAGGGCAGACGAGAAGGCTTAAACCTGTTAAGCGTCCTGACACGCAACCCCATAATACTAATGCAAAACATACAAAATTAATGTTGAAGGCTATGCAGGAAATAGAATAAAAAGCAAAAATCTATTTACCCTGGCAAGTAAATTCTAGAGGCAAAAATATGAAACTAACACAGCACACATGCTTCTTACAATATTTACATTATAATATTTACACTAAAATCATGAGGAATAAGAATTGCACTTAACTCAATGGACGGCATCTGACATTTTCTCCAAACTTGCTATCATAACTTCTTTACCATAGCAAGAACCAAAGAGACTATAATTTATAGAAAACGTGAATTTAATGCTGAAAACAATGAAAACCAAATGACTGAAAGTGGTATTAATGATAGCTGCTTTTTTGGTAGATATGAATGGTACTAGACAGCTTTGAGGTTACCAGGTACAGTCAAACCTGCTTTAGTGACCACCTGTACTACCTGTCTACAAAGACCACATTTTTTGTTTCCCTTGAAAATGTTTTTTCATTGAAAATGCAATATATGATTATGATTAATATTAGCAAAATATTGGGCTAAATTTTCTTTGCTAAGAATGAATATAAAACTGCTAAAAAATGGATACGGAACTACACTAGCGCCAAGGAACCTGTACTTAAAGACCACCTGCCTACAAAGACCACTTTTCTTGTCTTCCCTGGGTGGTCTTTATAGACAGGTTTCACTGTAATTTCTTTTTAAACTTTCACCTATGTATGGCAGTCCTCATGCCTAGACAATGCAATTTAAGTTTTAAGAAAACTAGTACACCCGAATGTTATCAAGACACATTCACAACATTCTTTTTTCAAGTGAGGTCTCATTTATCTGTCAAATTATGTTTTAGTATCTGAAGGAATGACAAATATTCCCATACAGTAGCATTATTTGATGGATTTTTAGGGGTGTAAAATGTAATGGCAAATGCAACAGTTTAACTTTTGTAAAATGTCGGAACAAAGAAAGCCCTATTCTACCAATATTACAGGAACCATTAATTGAACTCAACAATGAATTTTCCTTCTACAATTACAATTCACTCTCACTTTTCTATTACATTTGAGCTGAAGAAATTGTCTCTTTCACAAGAAGATTAACTAAACAAATCATAAAAACATATATTCTTGGCATTTCAAATAATACAACAGTAGCTCTTTGGAAGAATGTTTGCAGTCTTGATGGAAGACTTAGTCATCACTCGTCATGTTACCTACCAGTATTCTACTACTACTAATTTTGGCTGCGTTTATTGGGTCTTGCCACTAGATATGTACATATCGTACCCCACTATCAAACCCCACTATCGAACCCCACTATACGAAAGTGATTTGCCTGATGTCGCATTTATCGTCTCTTCACGATTCAAAATAAAGGCCTTGTGTCTGCGTAGCTGTTTTGACCCAGGAAGCAGACAGTTCCTCGGAGGTCAACTACACACACATGCTTGTACACAACACATGGCCCGCACGCTAGCCTCCGAACCGGAAATTAACCTGGGTGGTCCGATTTGTATGTGGGGTTCAAAACAGCTTTGCGTTTATCATCTCTCAGAAACGTGATTCTGGCTGTATGTCACATTCAAAACACACCTTTTTGTGTCTTTAGATATGCCCATAGCTAAAGACCTTTAAAAAAGGCTTTGCGTTTATCACCTTCTAAATTTGCCTGAAAGACGTTTGAGAAACCCGATTCTAGCCAAAAATTTGGTCAATAAACACACCCTCAGTTAAACCAGATACGGGGTCTACAATTTAGCCGATTTGGCCAAATGCATAAACCCAGTCACTGGTTTAAACAAAAAAAATCAGTATTATACAGACCCTTTGTCTCCAGACTTTCAACAACAAGGATTGTCAATAAAATATTAAATCCAGAAGCATTCTGATAAAACTAAAGCAAAGTTGGATGACAAATAAATTGAAATATAATACTGATAATGCCGCGAGACAGCCAGCAGTTAAAAATAGGCAAATTTTATAGTCCACACTGTGCAGTAACAGAATACTGTGAATAATATTGCATGTACAAAGATAAAATGTCCACAGTCTGCAGTCTATAAATGTAGATGTGAAGTGTATACATGTTATGTATAGCTTTCTGGAATTTTATGTATACATTAAGATTTGTATGTTTTTATAAGAAAAATATCTTCAGGTGCTATTCATATATATACAAATTGATAAGATGCATTAAACTATATATTAAGGCACACAGAAAATGACTGAATAATTAATAATACACTTTGTATTCACGCTTAAATTGTTATAAATTTAATTATAAAATACTATAAAACGTACATTTTTAAACAGAAAAGCAATTTTCAAGTGCTCTTCATAAAGTAATGGTCTAGTTTTTTTTTTCTTCAAGGCTTCTTTGGCTTCTAGCACATGGAATGTAAGGAATAAAATAACAAATATAATTAGTCCAAATTTTACTTCATTAAAATATTGCACCACCAGTGTCCAATAGCAGTTGGGGCAAAATGACACCACTGAATGGCAACATACCGGGTAAGTCTCTACGTTTACTTGTCTGAGAAATGAGAAGCACATAATACTTTATTATGCTGTGGCGTTTGTTTGTTTGTTGATAAGATCACGCTTAAATCACTTGCTTTATGTAATGCCAATAACTGAATTTCCAAATGGACCAATCAAATTTATCTGAATCTGAATCTGAATCTGAATTGATATGTCACAAACGAGAAGACTCTCTTCATTTCTTGAGTACTGCATTGAGGTCTTGATAAAATGATGCTGAACTCACTGTGAACATGACGGACAACGAAAGCGGACAAAATATACAGTTCCTCATTCTACCCTCAACAATTGCTATGGTAGACAAAGGAACATCCCTTCATTGCTATTATGTTCTACACATTTTTACATCATAGCAGTGAAGGGATGTTCCTTTCTCTACCACATCAATTATTGGGGGAGAATGAGGAACTGTATATTTTGTCCGCTTTCTTTGTCCGTCATGTTCATAGTGACTCACTCTACCACAAACCAGGCATCTGCCCATCCTCATTTCATTTGGCAGAAACCTATTGAAATCCTGCACCGACTTATATTTGAAATGATGTTTAAATGCGTCCAAAACGCTAGAGTCTTTCTCTGCTCATTTCTTTGGTTGATAGGATGTCTTGAAGCCTTTATCCTTGGAGAACTGCTTCATAATCACATCCTGTAATAACAGATAAAATGATACAAACAAAATCAACGAGATTGAAAAGAAATGATAGTTAGGGTAATAATAGTATGATTCTCCTCTTGTATTCTCGATCAGACATGACAGAGCCGCATTGTTGCTACATACACACAGCATCACTACAGATGCGCAGTTTCGAAGCAACAATACAGACGCAATTTTCAAGAAACAGGTTATTTTGATATCTGTCTGGCCAGTTGCAGACTACCTTATGTGTGTCTGCATCAGAAACGGATTTAATTTTAAACATCTCTCACATCTGGCCACTGAAGAAGAGGGTGATACTAACCTGTTTCTTGTTTTTGTGGACAACTCATCACCCTCCGCCTGCCAGATCAAGGGGTTTTGGGGCCGGTTTTTGGTTTTGTTTCACATCACATCATAATAGGGACTTTTCGATTTGCACGTTCACTAGTGGACTGTGACGTATGCAGTCACTTTTGAAGCAGAATTCCAGTCAAACGCGTTCGCCCTTGTTTTGCCGCCGTTCGCAATCTGTGACGGTACATGTTCGGAAGCAATATTTTGTAGGCACGAAACAGCACATTGAAGTCACAAAATGGACCCAATTGACCTAATTGTAGAACCGAAGAGTGGTGGAAGCGTGAATTCTCTTAAATTAACACATTATGATCGTGTCTGTAATTTCCCTTAAATTAACATTGTTGCAGAATAATTTATGAAATGAACACATTTTATTTATGCATCGCCAATCTGTTGCAGCATGATTTTTTAGAACAATCCCATGCACCAAATTTGGTGTGTTGAACCTTTAGCTATTCGATCGAGTTTTGCGCTCACTATGCAAGCGTTGACATCGTGTAAAATTGAAAAGGTAACAAACAACAGTCCGCGTGCCTCGTCAAGGCTGCTTAAAAATGACTACAGGGAAATCAAACTATTGATGGCGAAGGTCAGAGTATCTGCATCAAAGGTATCTCCCCAGAAAGTAATTAAACAAAATGTGATGAACATAATACAAATTTGAAATTACATAAACTTATTTTGCCCCAAAGAAAACTGTTATAACAACCGAAGCAAACAAAAAACCATACAAGCCCTACAAATACACATATATAAAGTTGAACATTTCTACACAAAATCACATCATGTGACATTCAATATAATGGGAAAAGTAGCTTGAATCTGATCAAGCATCGAATCAAGCATCGAATCAATGCTATCGAATCAAGCATCTTTGCTTATGATAGTTGGCCTCTTTGATTCCACAGTCAGAGGGTTTGACACTAACTAAACCAACAACAAACTCCCCATTCCTCCTTATTTATGATGGCAGGTAGATACTAAAAAATTGCACATTATTTGTGAGGATCGATTGAAAAACTGACATGAAATTTTGGCAGCTCTAACTAGTCAATGTTGTGATCATTATCATTTCACAGCAGGAAAATTCACAAATCTGAACTACACTACACGTACTCACAGCATTTGCAATCATGTCTTGTACACAAATGTGTTTTTTCTTTCTAATACTTTTAACAAAATTCAAGCCTGGGAGAGGGCACAAGCAACAAATCTCTTCTCAACTATGACAGAGGGGTTCTGGGTATAAAGGAATTGGTACCGATAGGAAAATGGGCAAAGGCAGATTCATTAGTTAAGAGGAGCAGAGTTTTTCTTTCATCCACGAGAAACTAACTCACATTCTTTTGAGCTGTCATCTTCACGTACCAAAACATAGCATTCTTTCAAGATGCTCTGAGGGTAGGAATAGATACGAATGAGTTAGGACAAGTGTTGTGGAATCTACAAAGCCACTTCAAGGCACACACGACCTTCCTGTCAACTTCTTAGAAACAAAAACAAAAACTGGTATAGTAATCAATCCCACTATTTTGGACAACTTTATTAAACGAAAATGAAATTTAAATGACATACAGGATGAATGCACACAAGAGCTGCCAACCTTGTGCGACCAAAAAAAGGAATCATGATGGCCAAAAAAAGGAATTTCAAGCAAAAAAAAGGAATTCATAAAATCGAAACTTACAACCACGCGCGACACACTTCCAATGCAGTAATGTTCATTCATCATGCTATTTTTTTCATACAAGCAGGTAATTTTTTTGTGGTTATTTTGGTATTATCGGCATTTCATTTTTTTCGAGAATATTTTTCTCTTCAAGTATGTTTTAAAATTAGTTTTCTATTGAATTTGTGATCAAATCACCATTTAAGGGCAGTTGTTTGACATGCGATATGTAAAAAAAAAAAAAATAATAAAAACATATTTTATGAAGAAAAAACATAATACCGTAATTTGGAGGAAAAAACAGAGTAATTCCGGCAAAAACGGAATGGTTGGCAGCTCTGCACAACACTACCTGATGAGTATGCAATATGTATCAATTGTGTGAATGACATGTGAAATGTGGGGTTTTTGGTAGGGATGATAGAGGGTATACTATCTTAATTAAAAACTTATTTGTGAACCCCCACTTACCTACAGTACTCATAACATGGCAATTATGTGTCTCCCCCCACTCCTTTGGGAGATGTCATTGACTTTGTAATACTCACTAGAAGTTTGTTACTTTTTACCAGAACTCAAGATTAGGCCTAAAAAGTAAAGATGTTGTATTGCCCTTTGCGACCCACCACAAATTGTTTGAAATCGATGGTCGGCTTTTTAAAAACTTTTTTTTTTAAAGGAAAAAATTGAAATATATCAGCCTAAAGAGAAAGTTAACAACAACAGAAAAGTTTTTAAAAAAAGAAAAAATTTCAGACCGACTGACCCATGTTTTGGCACCTGAAGGGCATTCCAACATCTTTTTTTTTTATAGGCCTTACGGTATGTCTAAATTTTGACCAGCTACGTTCCACTAACCTGCTGTGATAACTGGACTTCAAACTTCTTACAGAGCTCCATGAGCTGCTTGATCTGTGCGTCCCTCTCCAGGACCAGCTTTACTTTGGATGCTACCTCTGCCTTCAATGATGGACAATTTGAACAGCCATCCTGAAAATTGCAACAGAAAAGAGACATTATAATAATACGCTCCTCTTTGTTATTAAAGATAAAGACCAGTTATGGTCATGCGATTGCATTGTGAAAGAAACCTTGTGGAATCGATCAGAAAAGGTTGATCATCTAGCATATAAGTATTGGTGTGTACTGTAAAGCTCTGGAATCATCAAAATGATAAGAAATTTGGCCTAGTTTTGGTAAAGTTACAAGCACTGTACTCAGAAAGATGTATATGGGATTACACGACACGTGCGCGATATCTATCAGGTCCAAAAAGATATAACAATTTAACAAATATATAAATTAGTAGGCAGTTTCTCAGCGAAATTTGTATCATCCCGTATTAGTCAAAACATATTCTTTCACATCATTGGTAATAAGAGCTTCCATTTCATTTTTTGAGAGGGGGGCTTTTCCAAAACTAGTCTTTACCTTTAAAGACAACGTTTAACAATGTTAAATCTGAGATGCATAGTCCTACATGTTATCAGTGTCTGTGATATGGTGTAATATTGAAGCCCGAAAAGAATTGCACTTGAAAATGATCATGAAGTGCCTCAAAAAAGTAAAATCTTTGAGTGACCGATTTTACCATACTCATTTTCCCCAATAGACTAGTGTTATAAAAACAGTTAGGAAAACTAGAAATGAAATTTCGATTTCCAATCTTAAATATCTTTACAATCAGACAGGCGATCGACTTGTAAAAGCCATGGGATTCCTGACTGACCTAAAGGTTTATAATTATGATTGCAGCATGAGCTAAATTCAGGATTTTGTTTCAGAATCTGAGGCAATGTTACTGAGTCACTTTAATAGTGCTATTATCATCACCAATTTTCTCTACCAACAAGTTGACATAAAATGAGTAATTGGCTAACATTCAGTCCAATAATCTACATTACTTTTAAAAGAATCCATTCAGATGCACCGTAGAGTTGTTGGAAAAAGAATGATTTGTCAATTTTTCAAAAAATCAGTCCAATTTGGGTAAGAACATCTGAGCATTAAGCCTCAAATTTATTACTAGATAACGAATTTAGATGTATAGGTCAATTATTACTTAATTTCTACAAATGATTTGCTTTGGTTCAAGAATCTCTGACAAGCTGTGTAACAACTGTGATGGTCACTTGAGAAAACTAATTCCTCACATATTCAGCTCCCCAAACATTTTGACTGTTGTGGGATTACCAACTCATAATATATTTTGTTGTTGATATGGTTTCAATTTTCTTTGACTGAAATAAATGATGACAAAATATATGTCCATATTGGCTTGCTTTTAATGAATTAATACAAAGGTAAAGGTGTCAGAGTCTCAACTTTTTATGAATCAACATACATGTAGAATATGATGATGAAGATTTCCATCCCTAGCATAAAACTTGTGTCCCATACATAGGGATCCATCACCACCCCAACGTCTATCTTTAAAAACAACGAACAAATTATCTCCCTAAAGTTACAGGAGACATTCAAATCTTCAACAATTAGATTTCATTATATTCCACATACTTAGAATATTGCTCTACGATTGGTCAAGATTTATGCATCATGTTTTTGGTGAATAGTGCAAACGTATGTACCTTATTCTTTGCTGCCATTGCCTTGAGTTTACTCTTCAACATGTGAGCCTCTTCTGACATCTTTCCCAGTTCTTTGCTGAGCTCTTCCAGTTGCTGTTGTCTCTCCCTGCCGAATAAGAAAAAGAAAAACATGGTCAGTCACTTCACACTGACTGTTCTTTTTCCTTGCTTGAAGTTGCAGTAGTGGTAAATAGCCTAAATATGTTTATGGCAGTGTATGTACTGAATAGATCAACATGAAATTGAAGTACATTTATCTTTCAAGATTGGTATACATTTGTAAATTCTTATATGTCTCATTGGCATTGCTAATATTCACTCTCTGAATGACCCATAATAACTGCAGTACTTACAGAGAAGGTTGAGTGCTGGGGAGAAGTGGAAATAATTTGTGAGCATTATCATTGTTATTATGCAAGTGTGGAAGAACATCACAGAAAAAAATTGTTCCCTGAAAAGCATGGCTCTTTGAATACCTTCATAGTCCCATATATATCTTTCTGGGTACAGTGCTTGTTATCAAGACTGGGCCTAATTTCTTATCATTTAGATGACTCCAGAACCCTGCAGCACACACCAATACTTATGCTCCATGATCAACATTTTCTGATTGATTCCACATCTTTTCTTTCACAAAGCAATCGCATGACCAGAACTCAACTTTATCTTTAAACACCATCAGTATTGACACAAACGTTCACCATATTGTTAACTTTGCATCTGAATAATATATATTCATTGCACACAACATTATTGATGCATCTACCGAACATCAAAATTAAAACAAACACAACAGTTCAATTTTTCTGAAATCTTAATCATCAAGCTTTCTTCCATACCTGAAGAAATGGAACTTACTGTGAATTTTCTTTCAGATGACTTGCCATTTGTTTCTTGAGATTATTTAGACGTCTGTCCTTGTCAGCTAGCTCTGCATCATATTTAGCCTTGAGTTCCTTTACTTGTGCATCGTGCTGTTGACAAAATATTCAAGGGCTGAATTGTTAACCGTTTCTTTCACCTAAATTGGCAACATTAGTATTTTAATGTAATTCATGCATTTTTCTATTACAAGGTTGTGTATTTGAATAGAATAAACATTGACCAAACCCACAAACTAAAAAAAAAGAAGAAAGATAACTGAGATCTTAAACATTTAATCATTCATGTTCATGTTGCCATTTTAAGGAAATTGTATTAAATTGTATTACAAAAATATTGATGTAAGAGGCCATACTGTAACACAAAACAAAGGTCATAGTGTGCGCAGAAACTTTTGCTAATTCTGCTTGCTCATTAACATGTGTAGGTTTTCTTTATTGCTTGTTGGGTGTTATTGTTGCTGGTGGTGTATCTTTTTATTTTGGGGAGAGGGGAGGGGGCTGGGTCTGAAGCAAACGTTAATGAGATAAACCACAACGAGGGCAATACCATGCAATTATCCTAATTTGAGGTGTTTTTATGAAAACAAAATTGACACAGCAGAAAGAGAGGGGATAATTTAGAAGGGAAAATGGGAAGGGGAGAATAGGGTAGTAACTTACATGTTCTTTGAGTTCTTGTGTGTGCTGTTCATGACTCTGTTTCAAAGCTTCAACAAAGTTTTCTTTCTCCCTTAATTCCATTCTGGTTTCAGTCACCTCCTGCCTCGTAACGTCGTGACAGGATTTCTCCTCTTCGTAGAGTAACCGGAAATGTTCTTCCTAGAAAACATCAACCAAACAAGAATCAATAGCATTTCATACAATACAGGTCCGCATTGAAGGGGAAGCCTGGGCTGTCAGGTTCTAACGTGAGATGATTTCTCTTTTTCGTAGAGTAAGTGGAAATGCTTCTTCTGGAAAGTATAGACCAAACAGGACTAAATAGGAATTTGATTCATATAAGCCTACGGGGGAGGGGACAGGAGTGTACTGCCAGAGTGAGTGATCTCTCTTCTTCATAAAATAGGAATGTTCCTCCTCCTATATAGCATTCATCGAACAAGAATCAATGAGCAGTTTTGAAAAAATTTGCCTCCAGTGAAGGGAAAGGAGGGGGGGAATTCTAGTGCTAGCTGAGATGATTTCTGAATTCTATATGTTACCAGTTTGTCATTATTCCCCAAGGTCTTGAGTGGAGAATAAAGGTCAGAGTTTTGGAAACAGATACAAGCAACAACTATCTATAATCCTCTTTTGTTTTAAAGCGTGTTTCTTTTGATTCTTGGGCTCTTTATTGCTAGTACACTAAGAACGTAAGATCGTAACAACATAGAGTTTCATAGTTTAATGGAAGTAAGATGAATGTTCTTCCTAAAATGCCAAAGTGAAGTCAATGTATATCATAGACAAACAATGTAGGAATAATATTCGATGTTCGTATAAGTGTTCATGTACATCACCCCCCCCCCCCCCCCCACCACTTTCGGCCTTCCCCACAAGGTATGAAATATAAAAGCTTTGGGTTCACATTTAACTCACGATTTGTAGCAGTTTGAGGTTTGTTTTCATTAGATTCTCTTCCTTGATGTTGACTTCTAGACGAAGCTGTTCCACAGCCTTCTGAAGATTGTTGATCTTTTTATTATACTGTTTCTCTTTGCCCTGTAGTAAAAGACAGAAATAATCAGAGGTTATTTTCAGGCATGTTTATTTCCTAATATAGTTCCATGGAATGATCTTACATCTTTCAATTTAGGAAAATTCATGGATCTACCCAAGAGCAAGTTCAATCACAAAGACTGGTTTTATAATTGCAAATATATTAGACTTCCTTGGTTTTCAATGAATATCATTTGTTGTGGCTTGTTCCTTTTACATAATTACTGTAGGCATGTCTCACATACACACAAAATGTTTTGAGGTTACAACTACTCACATACTTGGTTTGCTTTTGCAGGATGATAAAAAGAAGAAAACAGCGTGTAAGTCTCAAATTAGAAAATAGAACACAGACTTGGCTGGATAAGTCAGATAACCCTGAGAGTTTTGTCCTCGTTTCATTTAGCTTGTAAGTCTATCTGAAGAAAACTGAATTCCAATTTTTTAGATGCATCATTAGGCAACAACAAAAAAAAAAATCGAATTCCTGATCTTGACCAACTTTGTGTATACCGGTACTTCATTTACATGTGTACCACGGCTGAGTATACTGTAAAAGTTATCAAAAGTTTAAAGCCCCACAACACTACTTATAGCTACTTGCTCCTTCCAATAGCAAACAATGCCTGATCAGTGCCTGTTGGTCCCCCATGATCCTCTTTCTCTTATTTTATTTGAGAGCTGATTTGATGAGATAACCACCTGTCAGTGACCTCACATGGAGGTCTTATTCCCCCTCGCCAAACTAGTGCAGACAGGCTTAAAGGAAATCATACAATACCTGTAGCTCTTTTAGTTCTTCTGCAGCCCTAGTATTCATCTGTTCTTTTCTTGACGAGGTCATCGGTCTGGTCGATGACCCCCTACGTGTCCGAAGTTCCTCTTCCAGTCCTCGCGGTGACATTGGCGGGGCACCCTTGACCCCATCCCCGTGGATCATGAGGTTATGTTCCTGGAAGTAGGAGCGGTTGGTCTGGTTGAGGGCCTGGGTTAACGGTGGGAACATGATGCCCTTGCTCACCTTCACGTTCCCCAAAGATCTGGAGTGGTGTGTACTCATCTTAAACGTCTCTTTGTGTTCACACTTGCTGTAGATCACTTGATGAAATTCACATCAAGGTCAGCACAAAATTCTGCTGACTTTCACCAGGCGACGATTGTGTTCCATGTTCCAGAGAGCATATATTTCATAAAACTGTGTTCCTCATTCAAAACTACATGTATCATGAAGTTTATCCCATCTTTGAAACCCATGAAAATAGATCATCTTGCTTGCAGGTCAATGTTGATCACCAACTGTTACACATTTCTCTTGCATCCATTCTGCTGTAGGTGTAACATGGTGAATGCTTGGGTAATAAACTGAAGCCTTGTCCTTCATTAGACTTAAACACTTGAAGTACTACAGCAGATCTAAAATTGAAAAAATGAAGCATAAAGTAGAATCTACGGAAGGGGACATGTAACAGTTAGATATAAGTTTACAAGGCATTTAACAAACAAAACAACAACAACAAAACTCTAAGATAACTTCTGTTCCCTTTGCACAGTTACAGGAACACCTACATGTAGATCATGCAATATTCTTGCCTGGTTGTCATTACACTTCACCATGTTCAAGCCCTCACTCACAGATACAGGGTACTTCATTTTTTGGTGATAACAATTTCAATATTATTATAAATTTCGCTAAAGTTCGCTATCTCAAAAAATCAGTAAGATTTCGAAAATCTGATATCACCAAAGGAAAGAGGAACACAAATGACCAAGAGATGAAATTTTCTTTGGAATTGGGTTCGAAATTGTGAAAATATATTGACAAAAGATCGGCAAATTTTGCAATCATTTGCGTCCGTTCAGAAAAATTATTGACTTACCGATAAGGGTCTGAAAATCTTCAATTTGAGAGCAGATTTCCTCAAAATTGTAAGTAAAAAGTGGTACCAACTGATTGTATGATATCTTGCCTTGCAAATTACCTTATTGTTGATGAATCATATTTTTTGATAAATAAGCCCCCATGCGTAAAGTTAGGTTTCCTTGTTTTTATGACTTTTTTTGATGCAGCGCGCACGCACAATCAGACATCAAATTTTTAGATCGCGATATCTCCGAAATCCTTCGACGATAAATTTTCTAGTTGAACCAATCTGTAGATCTAGTAAAATACTTTGCCGTTCATTTGGTAATAATTGAAATAGATCTAGATCAAAATAACTTTGTGTAGAATATATGAGAAATCAAAGATCAAATATCACATTTTGTAATAGTCTATGTTCTAAAATGTCCACAAACTTTGGTCACCCCTTCATACATTTTCTCATTTTCAACATTTCACTCGACATGTCACTCGGCCCGGTCATTCAATCAGAGTTGGACTAACTCGGACTAAAGACAACTCGGCCCTGCTGCAAGAACGGTCAGATTTTGCAAGTTTAGGGTTAGGGTCAAACGACAAAAAATGAACGTTTTTGCAGCGCGGCCGAGTTGTCCCCTGGCCCTGGGCCGAGCAGAGTTGGCCCGGATTCATTCAATCATAGCTATTCATACTCATATCATAGCATAGTCACAACTAGACCGAAAGCTTCAGTCTCTATACCGTCGGTTGTTCCACTGAGACTACGTCTGGCTCCACTAGACCTCCGGTTATAGAGACTGAACGATCGCCTATGCCAGCCTATGTTGAAGATATCACGGCTAGATTTTAGCCGTTAGGCCCCTCCCACAAACATGAACAAACTTGCCACGGCCGTATTGTTATGCCCCCCAAATCCCCCAAAATGTCATTTTAGCTCGTGCATATCCAATTTTACATTAGGCCTAGGCTATAATACATCGGTTCCACTTACTAACTTGATTGAAATAATCCGTTTAATGGTCCCTTTTAAAGAAATTATGGGTCAAAATCGACATCCATGTTGAAAATCTTGCAAGCCGTGTTAAATTCTCGCTGCCGTCAATCTCATCCCTTCTAGTCTACGCCGAAGGCAAAATGATTATGAAGGAAAAACTGTGCGCCATCTACACGTTCGTAATGGCGTTATCACAGTTTTTTTTTATCACAGAGGTCTAGTGGAGCTAGACGTAGACCCTAGTCTCAGTGGAACAACCGACGATTATAGAGACTGAAGCTTTCGGTCTAGATCGAAGTCACAACAAAAAAAATGCATGAAACGTTCCAGTAAATCTGAAATGTCAGTAAAATTAACGTCGCCTTTAACAGTTTTAGGGATCAATGGTAGAGGATATTTAAAACTCGACAGTTAATTACGTTCGATGACATTGACTGGCCTGGAACGGGCTACGGGATCGGGAGGGCCGAGGGCATTGGAGCTACGCCCAGGCTGAGTGCAAGCCTCTGCTCCGCCCAACTCCGGGGACTAAGTTGAGTACCTCTGCCTCGGCCCCGCTGACACCCATGAGCCGAGTCAAAGTAATTTTTTTGACCTAGAGGTCTAAACCTATAGCCTTACAATTAAAATTTAACCTTGTTTACCTTGTTCGAACTATGTTCATCAATTGCGGTAATTGAATTATCGAAATGGTCTTACTAAGGACTGGAAACGACAGCCAAAAAGGACGAACTTCCAGGAAAGTTTTGATGCGAGATCAATGCGTACGGTGCTACAACATTTATTATGAAACATCTGATCTGATTGGTTGAGGCTTGGAAAATATTCTGCTAATTGTTCCTCTCCAACCAATCGTTTAGATCGTACTTAATCACGTAGACGCTGCTAAGGCAACTCCAAGCTTTCAATCACTCAAGCAACGTAGAGGGCTCGCATTGAGAAAGGAATAAAGGCAAGGTTGACCATCGAGAAAACCAAAGGGGACTAAAATTGTAAATGGTGGCGTATCTGTGCAGAGGAGGTTCATACCCTGAATTGTAAAAAAAAATCCTCTGGACGGCTATGCATTATGGCTCAAGGCATGGGCACACAGAAGATTTGTTTATGTTGGGAACCGGGGTAAAATGCAATAAATTATTGAAAATTTATTGCATTTTCTGTGTTTTTTTTATTTATGGAAACTGCCCCCTACCCTAGCCCCCGCTGCGTACAGTCATGGTTCAGTGACAAAGCAATGGCCTCGTAACTGTGAGGCCCCAGGATCAAAACCGTGTCGATGTGCTATATTAGTGCCCTTTTGTGGGGCATTAATCCTCATTACCGTCATTTATGACTTAAGGACATAGGTCCCCTAGTTAATAAGCATAGTAGCATACACATGCATTAGCAGTCCCACAAAACACACATTGGCAAATTATTGTTCAATAAAATCTGAGAATGTATACTATTATCTAGATCTATTATTTTTAAATAATTTTTAAAATAATTCCATAAATTGGGGTAAAACTAAAATATTCCACCTTTATGAGCGACAGTGTAAAATCAACCCTTCGAACATAAATCGTTGAATTTTCGTCCTGGATGTCTAAAATTGAAAGAAAACAGCGAACAATTGTTGTGATACCTTGCCCTTTATTTAATTGCAGGCCTAATATGAATTATGATGTTCATTTGTGATATTTGGGGAAACCTAATAAGCTTATTAAAAAAAAAAAACATGATGACACCAAAAAAAAAACCCCAAACAATTGCTATCTCTATTGCAGATATTTAGATCCATAACATTTTAAATAGTCATGGTTGACTGGTTGAGCACTGGAAAATAACTAAATTATGTAAATCAGAGTTTCATCGTCATTCAGACTTTCATAAAAAACGATTGTTTTTCTTCTAATCAGAGAAACAGGCAAATAGAATAAATAATAAAAAAATAACAATAATAATCAAACAAACATTTTTTTTTAAAGCATCCACACGCGCATACAGGTTTGAAAATAAATCAACACAAGAAAGTGGAAGATAAAAAAGAAATAGGGAGAGAGAGAGAGAGAGAGAGAGAGAGAGAGAGAGAGAGATAAAAGGCACAAAAATCATTATCACTTGCTTATTTTCCCTTCTTCTTTCTCTAATTTTCTTTCTTTCTTCTCTTTCTTTCCTTCTTTCATTATTTCTCTCTTCCTTTCTTTCTTTCTTTCTTTCTTTCTTTCTTTTTTTCTTTCTTTCTTTTTACTTCCTTTCTTTCTTTCTTTCTTTCTTTCTTCCTCCCTTTCTTTTTTTCTTTCTACTTTCTCCAAGGGCAAGGTTGCCGGGTTGTAATCTCGATGGGAGGATGACACAATCTGGGGTACACCTATTGATTCGAGAAAGCAGCGGGGGCCCGCGGCCTTACATGTCAGGTAATTATCTCCAATGTGTGAGGATAATTTCTGCTTCTCGCACCAAGACATGCACACAGGAGGAGGAAAATAAGCTGATTACAGAGGGAGAGGAAGAGGGAGAATGGGAGTGAAAGAGAGAGAGAGAGAGGGAGAGAGAGAGAGAGAGAGAGAGCGCGAGAAAGAAGGAGAAAGAGAGAGAGGGGAATGAGAGTGAGAGAGGGAGAGAGAGAGAGAGAGAGAGAGAGAGAGAGAGGGGGAGGGAAAGAGAAGGAGAGAGGGAGAGATTGACAGCGCGGGACAGGAAGGGGGTTATTTTAGAGGAAGAATAAGATGTAGAAACCTTTGCAGACAATACTCGTATTTTATCAGGGTCAAGGCCGGGAAGGAAATACGGGCTTCCATCGTCAAATTATGAATGGGGGATTACAGGCGAAAGAAAATGATATTACGAGAAGAGATGAATTAACGAGGCAATGCTCATTTCCTGGCCAAAAGCCCCCGTCGATTCGGCTGGACACGAAACGGGAAATTGGCATCAAACGAGAGGGGCGGAGAACGGGAGGATTTGACTGCATGGTGCGTGGTTGATGCGCCCCTCCTTGTCTATTGTCCGAGGTGTTTTAGAATCGCTGTCATTTTGATGTCTCCCCCTTTTTGTGCTGTTATCGGTTGTTGTTCAATTGTGAAGTTGTCCATGCCCTGTCCATCTCTGTATCATAGCCGACACGTGTCCTTTATCGGGAGCAAGCGAGGGATTCGTTTTGGACGAAAATAATGCGAATTAAAATATGTCAATAATCATCAGTAAAAGGTCGAAGGAGAATGGAATTGGGTTGAGAGACAGCCATGGAAATAATACAATCCGAGTCAATAGCATAATGATGGGATTCAGTCGCCCTTTTTTCTGTAAAACTGATATTTTATCTGTGCTATGTTGGATATACTTACAATCTCGTTATGACGTTATCCTGTTATTAGGGAGAGCGCGAAATAAGATTAAAAATCGATTCGTTCACAGATGCCTCTAACCACAGTCAATGCAGAAATGCATCAAATATT